TCGTAATAACAAAACGCACTGGAATCTTCTGCTGATCAACATCAAGGGACAACCTAAAGATGCCATAAAGAGGACACTCCAGAATATCACGACTTTCATTTCCTAACATAGCACATTGAATATTTTACTATTTTGTGCAGATGTAGAAACTACTGAAGTTTAAACAAGATTATAACTCATTTTCCAATGCAGCATTTATTTAAACTAATACATTAATAAAGTAACGAAAGTAGACAAGCCATGACAGCATCATCATGTGGGAGACAATCATCGTAACTCAAACAAATGCGATACAGAGACACAGAAGCCAAGGCATAAAGAGTAAGTGAGGAGAGTAAGAGAGGACCTGATCATAAGCTCTCTGCAGAAAGGTAGATGGAATTATGCAAAAGGGCTTCAAGCCCCCACATGAAAGGCCAGCAGAAAATGTAACTGCATGCTGCTCAGCCATTCCAACATCAAAAAACCTCTCTGGAAATTTTTCTTGAAATAGTGTAAGTGACGAATCCATTCCCATTCCTGCATGAACTACCACAATATCTTTGTCCTTCTCTGCCTCCATAATCAAGGCCTCTACAAAGCAATTACTATATGTGCGACAGTGATTATAATATAGTAAAGAAGAACAACTGCTTGAATCTGCAATTTATGAAGAAATGAATATTATAAAAATGTGGAGACAAATTTCATGTTAATACAGAAACATTTACTCAAAAGCCAGAGGGCCCTTAGTCATGCTCTTAGCATTCAGACAGCAAAAACACTTCAATATGCAAATCTTGTTGAAGGAAGCTAAGCCTTCTTCAGGGCACAGTGCAAGAACATAATACCAGACTTGAGGAGATAAGGTGAGGTATTTTACACCTTAATTCACTTACAACTTTAAAAATGTTACTCTATAAACAATGATATGCTTCTTCGGAAAATATAAATGAGTAAAATGAAAGTACACGCACCATGACCCTGCTTGTCTACTATCTCATTTATTTCTTTATTTTCTGAACCATAAGTTTCATCAGTTATCACATGAACCAACACAGGACCAGTGGGATCCAAAGATGCTACTTCTTGTAGAACACAAATTAGGTCCTCAATGTTGTGTCCATCAACAGGGCCTATGTAATACAAGCCAAGTTCTTCAAACAGAGTTGATCCTGGAGGACCTAATATACCACGTGCATACTCGTCAACTTTGGCTGCCAATTCGTGCATGCCACCACCAATTCTTTTGGTTAAGCCCTGAGAAGAAGTGCATTAACTTCATAGTAGTAAAAGATACTACACAGAATCATCAGAGCCAGCAAAAGACATTAAATTTTATATGCTTACTGTTTCAAGAAGCTTTCTCAAAATTCTAAAGGAACTAAATCATACAAAATTTTTTTGTAAACATGTATCTATGGAGGCATAAGTACATATCTTATAATAAATTTCATTATATTGCTCAATTTATTTAAGATTATTTTCCTCCAAAAATATCAGCTAGTACAAAGTAAAATGTCCTTAAAAGACCCATTAGTGATATTAAACAACTGCTCACCAGAAATTTAGCACAAACAATGACCAGGATTTGTTGCAGCAGACGACACATATTTCCCAAAAATTGCTCAAAGGTTTTTCAGTTAAAGAATTCCGGTAGTAAGAGAAAGAATAAATATCTTAATGATAATCTCGTTAATATCATAAAAGGAAGAAAAGAGACAGAAAATACCTTCGCTACTTCTCTAAATTTACGGAAAGATTTACTAGACTGGATTCTGCTCAGGGTACTCGATAAAGCATTTATGGATGTTTTGAGCCCCTCTTCAGTCTTTAGGTGTAAAGAATGGCGGCTGTCATTTAATATCACTATCATATTGGAGTCCAAATAACCCACATTGCTCATTGCTTCATAGACCTGACCAGCCATGGTTGTCCCATTGCTGATGACTGTAACAATACGTTCCCACTTTCCTTTAATATCCCTTGCAACTGCCATGCCTAATGTGGGGAAAAGCTCAGTAAGTTAAATTTGATATCTCTATTTCTAAACTTTATACCAAAGGATCAACTACCATGGGGGTTGAACATACAAACTCTATAAAATGTTGAATCACTTTGAATACTTGAACAGATGACACATAATAATATGAACATATTGATACTACTAAACTATTTGTTAGAATGAAACCATGAGTGCATAAATCAAGATGTATAGCGTATCATGAAAAACAAACTGAATAACAAACAAAATCTAGAGAAAAGATAATTATTCTATCAATGAATTAGAATAGTAACTAGAAACAGACTGAAGATAGATACCAAGACCAGCAGAAACACTGTTGCATCCATGCCCTGCACCAAATGGATCATATTCACTTTCAGATCGGGACGTAAAGCCAGATAGACCATTCTTTTGCCTTAGTGTATGCATAAGGGATCGCCTGCCCGTCAGGATTTTATGTGCATAAGTCTGCCAAAACAGAGTAACTAGTACACGAACATCCATAATTTCCTTAATAAATATCACGGAGCAAATACAGATTAAAGAGAAGACAGTTGATTTATTTTCAATTTGACTGAATCTTCATCAACAGAACTGCCCTTTTTTTCTCACAAATAACATGAACATGCATGAAATATACCTCTCTCTCCTCCCCAACAACAACCTCCTCCCAAAAATAAAAAGAAAGAAAACCTTGCTATCTGATGGTAGTGTACAAGTAACTTGTTTATAAACATGCCCGGACTATTATCTTACTTGTTCCCCGACATCCCACAGTATCTTGTCCATTGGAGCATGAAAAACATAGTGTAATGCAACCGTCAGTTCCACCACTGCCAAACTGGCCTTGAAGAATTTCTGTCTCTTTGACATCACAGAAGATAATTCTGAACGGATTTCCTCAGCTAACTGTGTCAGTTCCTACAAATGCAAATCTTCTGTTAGAAAACACACTAAGCTATGAGCATAAGACATGCAAATAGAAAGTCAGAAAACTCTTTACCTTAAGACTTAAGTTCTTTAAGTGGACAGGGTTTTCAACTGCATCAAGTATTGGGGTTTGGACTTTATCCCAAAAGAAATCATCAATATCAGGCAAAGAAAATATTCGACTTGCCAATCCCTGCATCAAGGAAGATGGATAATTCCTTTCCGTAAGAACTACGGATTTTACATTAAATGTTTTATATGAGAGCAATTTTAGTAATTCTAGATCGAACAGGATGTATGGTAACTGAAGGTAGGATTGACAGCATGAGATCAAAAAAATGGAAAAATGATCTAGATTCCGAAGTCATTAGCTAATATGTACATGTACCTAAAACCTAAACCTCCAAAGCACAGCTTAGGTTGGCTATATGCTTTAGTGCGTGTCGATAGAGAGGGCTATGTCAAATCATGCAAGTAAAAAACTTCCAACAATCTCTTAAAGACACAAGTCAAACAAACAAAACTAGTGGATTGGCAACTGTTTAGAAATGAGTGGCAATTTATAACAATAGACCCATAGGTCGTTTCAAATACACTGGGTTATCGAGCAAGAAGAAATTGTAAGCGTCTTATTAGGTGCATTTTAGAAGCTGATAGAATCTATATATATATATATATATATATATATTTAAAAGTATTATGTTTTACAGGGAAAACATCAATGTCAAACAATTAAAAAATTCATAATTACATTATGCAATAAATTACTGGAGAAGAGGTTTTTTTTCTCCATTTCAAAGAATTTGTGATTTCTTGTTTCAGACGCTATTTATTTTATTTAGACTCACTCTTTGAGTAAGAAGGAAGATTTAGGTAATCTTATTGAGCTTTGCAAGTTTAGGTGCAACAGTAAATTTTGTACAGGAGTGACCTTAGTGCCAAGTGAACAAATTTTGTTGTAACCGACTGGAGAGGATCCAACACATCAAAATATAGAGCATCGGAAAAGAAAAAAGTCGTTATTAGAAACTTAGTTTCCCAAGGAAAACACAATTTCCCTTCAATAGTCATTAGATTCGATGAAATTCAACGAATCTGTAATCTAATTGCATGTAAAATAAAGGCACATTAGATTCCATAAACCTACTGATATTATTAAATGACATGTTTTAACTACCTCTCAACTGGTATCTCCAATACCGGTTAACGCATCAAATCAAATTATAACTTTCATTTTAAGCTAAACTCTGCTTCCATCTTGAATTCCACGTAGATCACTCCTAGGAATTAAAGATTGAAGTTGACTTTATTCAGAAAAATTATAATTAAATTCTATATATCACGATATTATAGAAATTAAGTAAAAACCAAAATGAGTCATTCAATGTTTCAACCAAAAATGTTCCTATACTCTCATTAATGTAATCTAGATTTTCAGAAACCTTAGTCCCTGATAATAATTTCATTACCCGAACATAAACGGATCATAAGGGTCATAATTTAAATAAAGGCAGCAAAAAGTAAATGCGTATAAAACAGGAAGATAAGCATAGAAATAGAAGAACAAGTACCTTGGTATTTACAGAGAAACCTGAAGTTGCGAACAAGCCAGCTCTCGAGATTTCCACCTTAGGGGAAAGACAAGAGCCCAAAAACTCCATTTTATAATCAGAATCTCTTTTGAAATGAGCAGTAATTCCATATGGGTACTGCGCATAAACAGTATCCATTGAAACAAGAGACACCCCACAGTCCAACGAAATTAGGCTAGAAAAGAGAAAATTAAAGTATAAAAGAGGTAAATAGGTGGAAATGTGAGGATTGTTGTGATCGAAAATGGCAGATAAGATAAAAAGAAAATTCGCAGAGAAGTGAAGAGCCAGAGAATTTTATTGGAACCCAGAAACGGACGAGACAGTAAAATCAAAGGGCGAGAGAGATGGAGAAGAAAACAAGTGAAGTATAATTTGACGGGAGAGGATCGGGTCAGTATAATTTGATTAGCTCCATGTGTTCTCAAAAAATGGTAAAAATAACAGATAATTTATAAGCAGCCTAACTATCAATTTAGTGTGCAATTATTGTCATTAATTGCAACGTAAGATTACATTAAATAATCTTGAAGTTAAAAATTTAGTGTTAGCAGCCCACTCCTGTTGGAGAGCCCACTTAGAGAAAGGCTGAATAGCAAACCCTAATTTCTACATTCGTTCGGAATTGGCTCGATCCAGGCATGCATTCCTTCATTCGTTCTCTAGATACAAACTAAGGCGGCATTATCTGATATGATATTAGCATCACAAAGGAGATGGAAGGCCGATCATCCTCCTTGGCTTTACTCCACTTGGGCTTCGTGGAAGATCAAAGTGTTGTTGCAGCGAAATCAAAAGCTCCTTGCAAAGTTTTGAGAGTAAGCAGAGGCTGAGACGAACAAGGAAAGGGTTACTGAGCGGCTCGATTCCTCGACATTCAGAGGAAGTCTGCTGTTAGAGAAGCATAACTTTTTTACTAGTTTAGCTTTCTAATAACGATTAACGAAAGATATCGAATCTTCAATGGAGAGTAAATTCATAAATTCTGGTTTAAAACCCCACCAAAGAGTGTAGCCGTAGAATTTTTTTTGAGTTCAGGATTTTTCAAATCCATCGTAGTATGAGATAACCCAACTTTGAAAATTTAATTCACAGTCTACATCAACAAAATTTAATTCACAGATCATTTGATAGACATTTTGATATGTTAATTGTTGACTTATCACTTATAATTTTGCAGGCATTGTTATGAAGCAATTTCATAAACTTGAGGATACTTTTCAACATAAAAGAATCTCAAGTTTTGGATTATGTTAAGTTTAATTCATAATTCTTGACATATTTCTCTTGAATGAGAGATTGACCCGCATAAATTGCTGGGTTTGGTTGATTTTTTCAAAGAATAATTAATGTACGATAATATTTAATAATTGTACAGTATAATAATCATTAAATTAGATTATATTTAAAAATATTGTATATTAATGTACGGTAATTGACAATTATTTTATTTAAATTGATAAAATTTGTATAATTGTATATTTAATCAAGTTACTAATTTATTTTTATCTTATTGTATATAATATTAAATAATAATATATAAAAAAAATTATTTAAATTATAAAATTATTTATAAATAACTGAATTATCAATGTTCAATCATAAACACTGAGACATTCGTTTAATCAATTATACATCTAATTATATGAAAAAGAAAAAAATTAAAATAAAAACAAAGAGAAAAATGCTAGATTACTGTTCCTAATAGAAACCGAACCTGCTTCTCTTTTAACTCAGTCTCTGATTTTTCCTTTCTCTCGGTTCTCAAAAACCTCTACAAAAAGCTCTCTCACAAATCAGCAGAATATGGAAGCAGAAGAAGATGAGAAGCAAATGACAGCAAAGAAGACAATGACATGTTTGGGGATAAGAAAAACAAAATTTGGGTAAGGGTAAAATAAAAATTAATAAATAATTGTGAGGGTAAAAACGAAAAATGAAATTTTTAACAGTTAAAAACTAACAAATTCGGTAGTTTAAAAAATCTAAAAAAAAATAAGCAACAATTACAAACCATTCAATCAACCATATCATTTATTTAGAAGTGATTCAAATAAAAATAAACTCAATAAATTATCATACAGCAAATTAACGATCTATCGATCAAACACATACTTCTATAAAAATTTATAATATTAATTTACTAAATTTTTTATTAAAAAATAAATGTAATTTATACATGGTAGAAGATGCATAGGAGATGCAAACTCACATACACCATTCTTACAAGTTTAACAGATCCACAAAATCCCCTCAAGTATAAAAAGTATGACTAATAAGTGTAGAGTTTGTAATTATAAATCTTCTAAATTTATATTTTTTAAAATTCTCTCGTTTTATTTATTTATTTATTTAAATGATTTAAGAGATAATAATTAAAAAAAATTAGTTTCTTTTTTATGTGTGTGTGTTGTGTTTTGGAGTATAACACGCTTTTATTCACCATAAATTTTTCTGCCTTTAAGAGATCACCATAAATTGTTCAAATGTAACTTCTTACCGTTTTCTTCTTTCCCACATTGCTTCATCTTCAGACTCTACTTTTTTTTTTTTTTTTTTATAATAAAAAAAAATACACTTCAACTTCTTAATTTTGTATATTACATACAATTTATTTTAATTTACAATTAACAGATTATGTAATATATATATATATATATATAAACTATACACAAATACATGCATTACGATAATGATTAAATTAATTTTATGGCGGATCGACTAATGTGTTGAATTACGATAATGATTAAATTAATTATAAAAGTAATTAATACTTTCGTAGTTAATAAGGTAAGAATTACACCTGACTAGTCATACATATATTTTTAATTTTAATTACTGAAGTGTTAAATAATTTATTCAATTAATTTTTTTAAAATATTGTACCGTAACAAACAGTATTATAACTAAAAATTTTTCCAAATAAACTTAATTTTAAAGAATAAAAAAATAATTAGTTATTAAACAATAATAACTCTTATTCTTTAAGGAAAAGAAGAACATAATGGTATTCAAAATTAGGAGTAATTATTATTTTATTTTTTGACAATTCATTATCTTATAGTTTAACCATTAAGTAAACTATAAAACAGTAGTCTATGTATATATATAGACTAGTAATAATAAAAATTATGGGTAAATTGAAAGTTGCTCATGAAAATTATGAATTTTGAATACTAGTCTATATATATATGTGTGTGTGTGTGTGTGTGTATATAATTAAAAAGTGGGTTATCCTTATCGGACACATCTAAGTAAATCATTAACCCTTTTCCTTACAAGTAATGTGCACCTCTTGCTTGCGTCAATTAAGCGTACAAGAATTAATTAGCACTAACTTTACATTGTCTAAATTTTATAAACTTATATTAGGAGTTGGGAATTTAGTAAAAATAATTTTAAAAAAAAAAAAAACATTATAAATATTTACCTATAATATCACATGTACAAAATCTATATAAATCGATATAGGTGATGATATAATTCGATCATATACGGTCAAATCAATAAAAATTATATATATATATATATATGGGGGGTAAAAGTTGAAATTGAAAATTAGAGTGAATTAAGGGCTTTATTATTATTATTATTATTTTTTTTTATAATGTAGTTTCTTAAATGTTTTAAACTTAGCAAGTTTGAAGACACGTTATTTATGGGAGGCTGCAGACGTTACACCATCTTTATAGCCTTCAAATGTCAATCCCTACCACCAGAAAAGAGAAAATTTCAACCTTTCTTTTTCTTTCAGAAATTATTTTAACCTTTTCTCGTGATTTTCTAATTTCAATGGTTTTTATTTTTTATTATTTCTTTTGAAAATATTATACCTCTTCTCATTGTGCAGATATCAATGATACGATTATCGGGTAAAAAATTATGGACAGTCGTGTTGTTTTCAACAATATTGTTCCATTGCTCCCACGGAAATATTGGATTCGCTACTTTTTATGAACGACCTTATTTACGTAAGTTACGATCAAATACGTAAATATATTTTTACACGAAAGTTACATATATTACAAAAAGATGGTTTTGGGTTTGATTGTATTTAGCTACGGCATGTGCGGGGTTCGACCAGTCAATATTCCCGCCGGACAACCTGTTTGCGGCTGCCGGAGAAGGAATATGGGATAATGGTGCATCGTGTGGAAGACTGTACCAGGTGCGTTGCATAAACGCAGAGAGGCGAAGAGCTTGCTCGGATCCAAGGAAAATCATATTAGTGAGAATTGTTGATCGAGCTCAAACTTCTGTTTCAAGACCCGTAAGAAATGGTGCTGCCGTCGTTCTCTCTGTTGATGCTTTTAATGCTATTGCTAATCCACAACAAGATCTCATTAACGTAGAGTTTATTCAACGAGTAAGTTATTATTAACTTCCTTCTCATTATCAACTTAATATCACCAACTTTATTTTTCATATGTATATATATATATATATGTATGTATTGTCATGGGACTGAACGATACTGTTATCTTTTTTTTTTTTTTTCTTTTCATATGCAGTAATATTATAAAACCTGAAGCGGAGGTATATCATCGTAATGATTTTCTATCTATACAACTTGAGATGGGATTCAATTTACTAATTGCTTCCCTAATAATGTAATAACCCTATTTACTTTCTCTGTAACCAATTTAATTCTAAAAAAATATTGAGAGACAACATTTAACTTATAATATTCTTATTGTAAAGTTAGAGATGAACTCCAGTTTGAATTTTACTTTCTTAGAAAAATATTCAGTGAGTCACAAATAAGTTGGTAGATTCAACAGCTTGTAAACATTCTGCAATGTTTCTGGAGATGGTAACTCAGGGTTACTTGAATTTGATTGAGACATTTCTGACAACTAAAAGATCAAGGGGGAGGAGAATTTGGGTGAAACAGTGAAGAACATCTTCTCTGTACCCTCTATGCCTGGTGATTGAACAATGCATTACCCACATGGATAAAAAAACCATGTTAAAAGACATGGAAGGACAAATTTTTGCACCAGGGAATCAGAAAAATCTCCCACTTATATCTAAACAATTGTCGCCCCTAGTTTATGTTTAGCTTAAAAGAAGAACAAATTCATATTACTTTTAATAATATCATTGATGGTGGGATAAACTATAAATGCAATTTCCTTTCTCAAAAAGAAAAGAAAAACAAACACTTTAGGGGATTGAGGGAAATAAGCTTTTTAATGAGTGTACTCTTGCATTTATGTTTTTTTTATTATTATTATTAATGTAATACCCTTAATTAATTAATTTTAATGTAATTAAAATTTATGTATAAATATAATTTTTTTAGTTCCGAATTTTTATTTAATGTAAAAAAATGAAGAAAATTAATTGAAGAATGAAATTGAAAATAATTTTAGAAAAAAATAGTAAAAATTTAGATTTTATGAGTGTTTTCGAAACGAAAATCGAAAATTCGATTGTCATTCTAATCGCCAAAAGAGGTAAAAAAAATTTCAAACTGCTTGAAATTCAATTTCGAGCACCTCATTGCCAAATTAGAGTAAAAAGACCGGCGAATGAGCCGGAAACTGCAGGCAAAACCCGACGACACCGCCGTGGAAAAAGGTAAAAATCGCCTCCAATGAGACCTTTTCTGATTCTCGGTTCGTGTAATTTTTTCATCATTGTAATCACAATTCCTTTTTCTACAGGTTGACCGAAGCAAAACACTCAATCGTAAAGATGAGCCGGCGAAGCCGCCGCACCGGAAAACTTCACCGACAGTAAGTTTTGGTTATTTATTTTTATTTTTTGCCAACCGAGACCTCTTAACATTTTTATTTTTGGTTATTTATTTTTATTTCTCGCAATGATTGGTACAAAACCGGACGAAACCAGCTGAAAACAGCCAACCCGAGGCAAACCGCTACCGCGGGCGGTGGTGCCGTCGCTGGAGCACGGTGGAGCCGCCGTGCCAGAATTTCAGAATTGGCCAAAAAGGGTTTTTAATATTGATTTTGGATTTTTTAGAGTATTTTTAGGTACTTGAAGCATGTTTTAATCCCCGAAGAAAAATTTAGGGAACTTGGGGACCGTCAGTAGGTGCAGTTAAAAAACTTAATGCTCGGATACCAATTCGAGTAAAAATCTCTCATATTATTCCCTATTATGGAATTAAAGTTTAATTAATAACTATACGGTATATTGTGTAATTTAGAAAATATTCGTAATTAATTATAGATTACTAATTGAGACAAAATCGGTTACTTATTACTGTTTGCTATGTTTAACTAATTGCCTAATTTTACAGTTTCTGAATGCATGATAATATATTGGAATTGGTATGATGATATAATTGTGTTTCCTTGATCTATGGATTGCTTGTTTTATGTGATTACAGTTAAATTGGGTAACTGAAAATTAAAAGTAAACGAAAAATTGTCTAATTAGGTGGATGAATGAATAACAACCTTACGGGATATTTTGGAAGATGGTGGACAGACTGGTACATAGGGAACTCTACCGTAAACGTTACCTCATACCGAACGGGGTATCGAGAATTGATAATTTGGCGTTCATACTGAACGGGGTATGGGGACGGCCCGTTTCACCCTTATACCAGACGAGGTATTGAGGGATGGTATCTTTTGGTACTCATACCAAACGGGGTATAGGGACGCCCTGTTATTTGAAAATATTAAATAAAGATTCACGTGTAGTGGAGATATTCCTATGAACCCCAATGGATACCAATAAGCTGATAAAAGAGAAAAGTTGTTATTCCGAATGATTGCATATGAGATTATGGTATTGTTTATGTTCTTAACTATATAGGTTGGTTTTGAAAATCTCACTACGGTAACTATGCGGTAAATGATTTTTATTTATGATACATAAATTTACTTGAATTAAGAGCTCAATTAGTTATTTTTATAATTTCTACTAACTTTCATTTCTGTGTCGGTGAGTAGCGTGATATTTTTATTGGAGTAGTGTACCTCATTCTTCTATTAACTATTTCAGATAAAGATGACTAAAATTCAAAATTCGATCTACAAGAGGGTTGCAAGTAGGATGCTCAGTCGTTTATTTTCTATTTATTTCTTTAATTTTTTATTATTTCTTTTGAAATGATTATTTTCGTAACCCTATTAGTTAATCTGAATTATTGTGTAAAGAATGTAAAGTTTAACTATTTATTTCACTTCCACATTTAATTCATAATTTATTTCTTTTCTAGTACACGGACTGTTATAATTAATTTGCCATAAAATTCTAATACGACTTAAGAATGAATTCTTCTTTTAAGCCATCATATGTGCTACTTCTAAATTTTTTAACCAATAAATCTGTAGGAGAGGTTAATATGAATTTGCATATTTTAAGCATAAAAGTTTGTAAACCATACTGTATCCATAAAACCAATTAAACAACTATAATAATTTCTTAAGTAACATTTGACCTCTTCTTATAATATTAATAGTAAGGAACCGCGGGTTCGAGAAAAGACAAAAGATTTTTAGATTTTTATATATAAAGTTCACCAATTATAAATTTTAGTGAAAAAAATTATAAATTTAATCAATGATGCAAAATTCATGATCAACTAATATAATACCAACTCATACATATAAAATTAACACTAAAACTTATTTTTAAACAAACTATGTTCATTTAATCCATAATTAATTTATAACCGAAACTAAAGTAATTAAAAAAAAAAGAATAAGAATTGATAAAACATCATAAAAATAATCTTAATATTTAGAGTCAGTTTTTTAGTTAACCAAAAAATTAAAAATATATTATAAGTTGATAATAATCGTCGGGCCAAAACTAGAAAGCTTTGATTTTTATTGTTTTGATACTTAATGCTTTACAGTCAATGTGCAAGACCAATTTATAGATGTAGGACATGAAAATTACAATGAAAAATAAGTTCCTAAAAGATCTCGAATGCTTATCTTAGGAAAATAACGAATAAGGAAATTACATATCTGAGAATAAATACAGATTATATGAGTTACATACTTGTAAAATAAGCAAACCAGAAGTACAATACTTTTCTTAAAAAAAAAACACTTAAAACATAGTGTTCTAAGATCTTTTAGTTCCATCTTTCTTTTCGATATTGTTCTCTTCATAATTAACCAACTGTTATAGTTTTATCAATGAAATATAAATAAATTTAAAAAATGTAAACTAAAAATTTAATGTACCAAAAGTAGCCTGAAATCTCCCCCATCTCCTCTCGAACAGACAAAATAAGATACACTGATAAACAGAAAGAGACCCACTACTGATCTAAAGTTTCTGCAACTCATCTATGGTTTTCAAGTTGCAGATACAGGGAAGACCTCAATGCATGGCCGATAGCCAACTCCAGGATTCCCTAGTTGAAGACAAGAGCATTAAGTACTAACCTAAAACTGCCAGACTTATCTATGGCCTTCAAGTCGCACATGCAGGAAAAACCTAGAAAATTGGAAGGGTTGATATGCAGCTCCAACGTTTTATGGTCAAAGACCAGACATGCCAAGTACTATCTTGGATTGAGATCTTCGACAAATGCCAATTCAGAAGCCAAAGCAATGTGATCGCTACCCCATTTCTAGAAAAGACATAAAAAAGAAAATGCACTATTTAAATATAAATAAAAGGAGTCGAGCATAAATGAAACTGCAGTGCATTGGCTAGAAATAGTAAC